TAGATGAACGTTTAAATACGTGTCACACAAAAACCCAGAGGAAACATTATTTGATAAAATCTAGATTTAAATTTGGAAAAAACCTTTCATGGAAGCTCGATCAAACACCAGTTTTCTTCCACCCCTAGGTCCTTCCAAAGATGACATCCCATATTGTAAACGAAATAGATAATATCCTGGGAAATAAGCCCTACAGCAAGAAGGACTACAGATCGTAATGCAATGCATGAATTACCCGGACTGCATGGTTTAAAAAGTGCTCTGTACAGAAGTACAGCCCCGAATTAGTATCCGGTCATGAGAATCATTCAGCAGCTTGCTGCTCGGTGTCTGCCGTCACTGGATCCTTCGAGATGTGTGCTGTCGCTACTACTCTGCAGTGAAATTCAAAAGCACAGTTGATCTCTCTTCTAACCAAGAATGACCTTGTATTTTCTTACCTTCGACTGAATTCATTAATTTTTACTTTACTCTTAGCACCTCATGCTTGTGCTGCGAAAAACACCTGTAAAGCAAAAAATAATTTCTAACATTCAGGTACTTGGTAATTAAAGAAGGATGTACAGCTCTATTTTTTCAACGAAGAAAAGCCAGATACAACTCAAGGTTTTCATAAAACCACATTTGGGAAATCTCAAGTTTCTTCAGGTTAACAGACAGAAGGGGCAAGCTCAAATTTTCCATTTTCTTTTTTATGCTGAATATACGCTTTAGATTTTGTTTGTAGTTGAATAAAGGATGTAAGACAGAGAATTAGTTAGAAATTAGATAGTTCAGCTCCTAGCTATACAATTATTTCGGCTGTGGAGTGCTCCTGGGAAGTATTCCTGAGTACAAGCCAGAAGAGCACAGTTAGCAAACCCACGCGCGTATATCAGGTTAACAAAAACAATGGCTGTTTGCAAAATTCTAATTCTACATCAATTTTCAACCAAGAAAGCCATGATAAAATATTGGGGGTTTGCAGCTGTAGAAACCTGCCTCTACTTCTGCCTGCTTGTAGACATAGCTATTGCAAATTTCAACGTTCAGGGGCTTTTAAGGATATAGAAACTTATATATAACTTATAGCTGCTGAAAAATACCAGAAAAAAATCAGGTACGTACTCTGGTTGAAGGTCACATTTGCTTTAACTGGTTCTGAAATCAGGCATAAGTAAATGCATAGTATTTTTAAGACACATGTTAAATAGGGAGAGTTTTTTTTGTGAGCGTTTCATCCCTCTACAGGAGTCGATAGTAAGCCCTTTGTATCTTTATTTGCCCATCTTCAGCTCCACCTCATACTTTAACCACGAGCTTGCTTTGTAAAACGCACCGATGGTTTCAGTAAGTACTCACTGGTACCGACTGGTGCACTTTGGGCGCACACTTCCTGAGGGTACCGCTACGGACGGTGTTTGTAGGGCCCTCGTACTCCCGTCCCCCCAGCCCCCGGGGAGCTGCAGAGCGCGTGCAGCCTCCGTGGGCAGGCACCAACACTTGAGTTGTCATCTCCTGTGTCTAATCCTACGAGCTATGGTATGTGTAGATGAACTTAGCCGCTGTATATCCAGAAACGCAGTCTGACCTTTGACTTCTGCTTGGAGACAATAAAAGCATTTCGTGCATCTAATTTTATACTTAGAGACCTGTTACTAAGAGCGAGACTGATTTTGAAACAGCAAGGGTTTACGTTCAAAGCTGGGTATGTATCCTTCAAAAATGGGTATGTATCGTTCAAAACTGGGTAGGTACCGTTCCCCAGGGGAACACGGCTCTCCAGCTGCACCCGTGCCGGGCAAGGGGCGATGCCCTCGGCCCGTGGAGTGGGTCCGGCCGGGGAGCGAGGGGCTGGGCTGGCCGCGCAGCTGGGAGAAGGTATTGCTGGAAGCCAGGCTCTGAAGGCAGGCGGACATCAGGCGTATGCAACGTTCCGGCCTGAAATAAACACAACGTGAACGCCCTCCCGGCAGTTCGCTGCACTCCTGCGGCAGTTCCGTCACCGCTCGCCCCCCCGGTGTTACTGTCACCGCTCCGTGCCACGTCCCCTAACTTTGAGGTATTAGCTGTGAAAATTGACTACTTAAGTACTTCTAAAACCCACTTTGTGCGCGGCACAAAGGCTTCGGCCGTTATACCATTAACAGCTTCGTTACTTTAACAATATAATTCTTTTCCCAGTAGCAGACTAGCCCCTTTTCTTACCTCCAGAGATACAACTTAATGTTCTCGCTTCCCTCCTCAGATACATGGGAATCCAACAATGTATTAAAAATACATTAATTCCCTTTTTTAATTGAAAACTAGATGGCATTGTCCCTTACTTAGAGCAAAAGCCAAAGCGTTATCTTGCTGAACACCGAGGGCAACGGAACACCAAGCAGCAGCCCAGCTTTGGGCTACCCTCCAGCCTTACACTGAAGAAACCGGGTTCAGCTTGTAGTGGGAATTGCAAGGGGAATGAAAAACACCCCAACCAAACTCAAAACAAAAATCCAAGCAAATAGCAACACCACCACCCCCCTCCCAAGCGCTTCTCTGTGAAGGAATCCACCAAAGACTAGGCTTTCTGTAGAAAATCCACCCGCCCACCCACTCACCCACTTTTGTTTCAGGCTGTCAGTGCTGCAAAGTTCTCTCCCCAGAAAAATTCTGACGCGCGCTACGCTCCAGGCCCCAGCAACTGCCACTACCAAAAACCTCAGGTAAGATGAAAAGCTGTGAATAAAAGACTTGGCGAACCGACAGCAACAGCAGAAGGAAGCGCTGCTGCAAACCTCGTTTCTCGAGACTGCAGGCTGCCTGGAAAACCGACCTGCCACCTCCCGCAGCGCCCGCCCGGGCCGTCGTACCCCTGCCGAGGCTGACAGGTAAAAGCAGTACTAGTGCTGCCTGCTCACGGGTCTGCGTTTCAGCACCGTGCCCTTTCGGTGGGAGCCCAGCAAATGGCCAGGGAGCAGCAGAACAGCAACCGGTAAGTGCCGCTGCTTATGGAGCGGTCAGCTTGGCCTCATCTTTGATGCTGACCATTTATAAAAGGTGGCTAGGCTTTTGCTAAAATGCTAAACAGACTAAAACACATACAAATTATATCCTTTATAATACATGATAGGCTAAGGAAAGTAAAATCATGCAAGGCAGGCACCAGCAATATGCAAAGTCTCCTTTCAGCAGCAAATAAGCAGGCAGTAGCGATAAAGAAAAATCCACGTACTTTGAGGGAAAACAATCCAACTGATGTGGAGAGTGTTAAAATGACCAACCAGAGAAGTAACTCCAATGGCAGCTCTAAAGTGCGCCACATCCACCGGACTTCTCACAGCGTAAGCACGTGAATAGTATTACTTCTACCGGGAAGCAAAGTAAAAGCAAATCATGCTGCGGAGAGTTGAGACTGAAGACCCCATCTCACCCCCAACCCCACCGGACTCTGCAGAGAGCAGTGCTACAACGGTCAGCTGGCGCTGGGTGACCAGGTAATAGCTTTGCGAGCCTCTCCTGGTCACATCTGTCAGAAATAGCAAATTTAGAAACTCCGCGTACTCCAGGGCCAGCCAGATACACTGTCTCCTGCACTTCAGAACTTTCATTTCCCATAAGCACAAAACTTATTGATTAGCAAAGTAATTGTTACATTAAATCTTATTATGAGCTTTCTTTCTTCCCTGTTTAGGACTGCAAGTCTGTAATGGACTTACAATCGGTAACTTCTGCATTAGAACGCCATTAACAGTAGCAGAGTTTAGCATTTAATGTAACAGCTGCTTTACTGATAGCACGGAAAAAAAAGGAAAAGGATTACCTGATAAACTCATTACAAAAGCCAGCTAAAGCATTTTTATTAAGCTGTGCCAGCAAAACCAGCAGTTTGGGTTTTTTTATTTACGACTTTAGAGAAAAATGAGAAAAAAAAAAGAAGTACATTCAAACCACACCCAAAGCACTTTTCTAGAAGGTTTAGGTTTTTGTCCTGGCTTAAATTTACTCAAAAATGAGGAGCATTTCCCATGAAAACAGCCCACATGCTAACCTGTAGAAGTTGTTAACAGCTAGCTTGCAAGCTAACTTGCTAACCTGCAGAAGTTTCTTCTAGAAGTGGAGAGTTGACAAACCTGCACACACTGCTTGCCCATGACAATACCCATTTTTTAAAAAATTAAGAATGGAAATACAGGAATGAAATGACCAAAAAACCGACTTTTTATTAAGACTTTTAAAGTTACAATGATAAATGGTGGATTGTCACTTTTTACGACCAGGGAGTCTGGCTCTTACACCAGTCACCACACGCACAGGGGTTCATTCTGCCACAGGTGTCAAGGGCAGGTGCTGCTGCGTAGCAGTCCCGTGGGGGGGTCCTGCGTAACAGCCAGCAGCACCACCACACCTCTGCAGTGCTTCGGAATGCTTGTGTTTGGTAGCTGCTCACACACTATTCCCTTTCATTGCCAAGTGAAAAAATTAATTCAGTTATTGAATAATACTGTGTAAAGATAACAAAAGTAATTATAATTCACTTGGTTTGGATTTGAACCCTCCCCCCCCATACCCTCAAACAGTCACGGTATTAAAAAAAAAAAAAAAGTATTTCTCTCCCC